GGGGGAAGGGAAGAAGAAGAGGAGTCCGGTGGAATGTGTGGAGAGGCCGAGGGCTGCTGTTCGCCATCCCCACCGCTCTGGGAAAGAATACATTATACTACAGATATACATAGCATTTACATAGAAAATAGAGTCAGGATCACAAACACCATATTGTAGAATTATTTCCAATCAGACTGCAGGAAATGTCGGGCGGAGGGGAGGATGAGGAGCTGGGCCCTTTCCAAGCCCCGCTCGCAGGCAGCTGGAGGGTGGCGGGGAGCCAAGGGTAGGTGTTGAGGCGCTTCTCATCCGCGCACACCCCCGCAAGAGCAGCCCGGGGGTAGCAGCCCCCCTGTCAGCCCCAGAAATCACTGCTGTGCCCCAAACATCCCCTGAAATAATTAAAGACCGGCACACACCTTCCAAGCCAGGCGCCCTGGTAACAGCTTTAAGAGAGGACAAATCGTTGGATTTGTGTAGGTAGCAGATGCCCCTCTCGCTCGACTGTATTGCTGCGTTTATTCCCCAACCATCCGAGATTTCTGGTGCCTAAATAAAAATTGAAGCAGGAGCCCAGAGCCTGAGCGCTGCTGCGAGGGCAGGAAACTTTTTGAAGTTTGTTGTTCACCCGGAGACACGCACACACAAAGAAGCGCCGCACGCTTTTCCTAGATGAAGGGAAATTAAAGCTGGGGTGGTTTGGGGGCTGAGAACAGGGAGGCTGAGGTGGGGAAAGCCTCGAGCAGAACGAGTCGATAAAAAGAAGGGCTGTCCCAGGTTGTACAGTTCCTCCGAGGATTTTGTCCCCCCGTGGGACTGCAGTGGATGGGTGCTCGCTAGGCTGCACCCAAAGGCAAAAGCAAGCGAGCAAACCAAACCAGCAGCCCCAAAAACATCTCCCCCAAACCCCCAGATGACCTAAATCTGCATTTATTTCCCAGGCACCGACAGAAAACGCGGCCGCCAGACCTACACCAGGTACCAGACCCTGGAGCTGGAGAAGGAGTTCCACTACAACCGCTACCTGACGAGGAGGAGACGCATCGAGATCGCCCACGCCCTGTGTCTCACGGAGAGACAGATCAAAATCTGGTTCCAGAACAGGCGCATGAAGTGGAAAAAAGAAAATAAAACTGCCTGCTCCCTGACGAGGAGAAGACGCATCGAGATCGCCCACGCCCTGTGTCTCACGGAGAGACAGATCAAAATCTGGTTCCAGAACAGGCGCATGAAGTGGAAAAAAGAAAATAAAACTGCCTGCTCCGGCTCCAACAGTCAGGAAAAACCAGACGCGGAGGACGACGAGGAAGAATGAAAGGGGCGAGAGGTGGATGCAGGAAACGTGGAAACCCACGCGAGAAGAAAAGGGGGGAAAAACACACAGAAAAAGACTATATATTAAAATAGATAAATGATAAGTGCATAAATAATTAAAAACCCTAGGAATGATACATTGTGTTTCCTGACACTGAAAAAAATACTACCTATATTAAAGTCTTTTTTTTTTTTTGTACAATAGAATGACTATCTACCTATTAAATGTGGCTTTAGAGTCAGAATAGACACATTTTTCTATGTGAGTCTTCCTATAGTACAAGTAATTTGTAAATCTCCGTTTGTACTTCGCTGTGTACTTTTTGGTATGAAGTAACGTGGTCGTGTTTAGCACCTTTAATTTAGAAAATGTGACCTGAAAGTCTGAATGCAAATTATACTTAGCGTATATAGTCCTGTACATAATATGAATGATTATTACGCCTTCTCCCTGTAACCTCTGTGGTTCTTTTCTCCTTGCTATGCTCTTTTGCCTGTGTATATTTTTACCTGGATTTCTTCCTTGTTCGAGTCTCTACGAAAAAAAGAAGAGGAATTAATATTGTGCTACGTAAAATGTTGTATATCGAAGTAGCAAATTATTTAATGGCGACGCGTTGCTTTTTTTTTCCCCCCCCTCCCCTTGTCTGTGATTACTATTCTTCGAAATAAAAAGGAAATCTCCAATAATCTACCATCGCGTTGGGTTCGTTCCTCTTTTTCTTATTAAAAGTAGCACACGGGCTTTTGGAATTGCTTTTTCCCATCTAAAATAAATATACTAAAAGATGCTTTTAGGTTAATGCATGCCCCGACCTATCGTCCTGAGGTTCTCTCTGGTTTTTTTAGGACAGCCACTCCTTTCCAAATCCTAGCACCTTTTCAATAGACTTGGCGAATATACTAAGATATAACTGGTATTTGGGGCTCTCGAAATGCCGGCTCGTCTCCTTTCTCCCTCCCTCTGTGTCTGCGCTGGGGCTGTTACTGAAGTAGGTAAGAGCATAAAGGAGGAATGCAAAGAAGCCAGAAACGGCCCAAATAGTCTTTCCGCCCCTTGCTTTAATTCTCTTCTTCTTGTAACTAATTTGCAGAAAACTCATCTATTTTGCCGTGCCTTCGGTATATATTTTTTTTCCCATTCTCCCTCCGCCCTTCAATTACTTTACTGCGGACTGGAACTCTTTCATTAGCACCAAATAATGTTTAGCATCAAACTCTCCACCTTCTCCCCTTCCTTCCCTCTCTGTCTCTCTGCTCTCTCGCCACCCACCACCGCAGATGACTTCATGTCCTAAGCGAAGGCGCGCAGGGCATCCTTTAGCAGGTTTTAGCGAAAATAAGATGCCACGTCAAGCATCTGCGCGCCCACGTCTATAATACAGATTTGCAGTATATGCTGCATATACTAATTACGGCAAGCCCATTATTGAAGGCAGAAGCTATTACGGCTTTTCCACACCGAAATTACTTGAAGGGAAGGGAAAATAGAGGGAAATTTCCCTTTTTCCTTGGCGAAATCCCTTGGTGCGATCTCTTTGCAGGAGCGCTCTGTGCGTAGCGGGGATGGGGGGGGAAAAAAAAAAGGCAGCGGTTCCAGAAATTTCCCCCCACCACCACCTTCCCCGGCCCCGCTCCTGGACCGCAGTGGCCCGGCTGGCTGTCCCCCCCCTGGCACCGACCTCTGCGGCCGGGGGCGGGGGGGGAAGCAGGAATTGAGGAGAATTCCGTGAAAAAAAAGGCAAAGCAAGTCACGCCGACGCTTTAATATGCTAAAGCCAGGGCAGCGGTTTACCGG